GGTACGCGTACCCCAGGTTGAAAACCACTGATATAAATCACATTCTCTCGTGATTTTAAACGTTTCATAAAAGCTACAAACAAACGTAATTTTACTACATTACGCCTCACCTGAAGGGCTACATCTGTACGAAGGGCCCCTTCGCTGATGGGCTCGGAGCCGTTGTACCACGTCACATTTGCAGCTGGTCTCGCTCCCAAGACCGCACATTCCAAAGTCACCTTTGTTCCTTGCACCACGTGATGCACCACGCCCGAAAGATCCAGACTAAGTGGGCGAACTGCAAACACAACACGAAATATGACAATAACTGCTTTACTCCGGCGACTTCCAATGTTGTCAAGAAGTAGCCTTCACCCACAGCGCAGCGACATTGCATTATCTCATTTGTTAATACGTCACTGCGCTCCAGATGAAGCAATACACAGATAAACACATGAAGATGTTATGTTCTCACACCGTTAAAGATGTCGATGTTATCTTTTGGGCTGCAAAGCCGTGTGTGCTAGTAGACAGTCACAAACGTTTCGGAAGAACATAGTATTTCCATCTTCAGGGAAGAATGTGGAGACAGTATGGTCTTACGAAACGTTAATATCTATCTGTAAGTCAACACAACGTTTCGATTCAGAAGTAAAATACTGTTAAGAACCTTCCTCTTTAAAAGTAACGAATTAAGACCTAAGGCCTGTTTAAATTCAGAATAAATTCCAAGTTACGAATATTTTGACATAACTGAGTCTCCAATAAACGACGTAGTCATATAACCAACCGGTGGCTCTCACAGTGACCAACGTGACTCTTTAAAGAGCCCACGTGTTAATAACAAATCTTTCAAAAACTCTGAAGATGTCTGAACCTGTGAGGATAATTTTAAAATGGAACTGAACGGAATCGAGTGTGAGGGTATGGACTTAATTCAACTGCCTGGGACAGACATTTGTGAAGATCACAACAAACGTACGAAATTCCAGACAGCGAGAAAATACCTGATTACTTGAGCTGAGCTAATAGGCCTGTTAGTTCGCCAGAATCTGCCCCATGGAGTTGGTTACGTGAATGTGTGTGTCGCTCAATTTGTGCAGATCTTCGCGTTTTGCTTACCTGACCTACTTTCGGTGTTACAAACACAACAATGGGCGGGAATCGAATAGCCACTTTACTACTGCTCTGCCCTTTTCACGTCATCATGTTATTGTTAAGTCTCAGCAGTGCACTCGAGATAAGAAACATCCGTGTACAAGCGTTTTCTATGTGCCTTCCGTTGACAGTTTCTGCAGCTCTTGAACACTACAGACAGTCTACTTATGTTACGTAGGTACATTGATTTGTAGAGTCGGGATGCTGCTGTTTTGCAGAATGATTAGTCGCATGCGTTCAGAGTTAATATAAAATAGATATTAAAGTGTAATTTGAAAAGACACATAGCCACTGCTGACATGCTCAAAACATGTTACTTAAAAATGACTCGAAATAATCAAGCGTAAGATTTATTATGTGACAGTTTTATCGCTTGGAATGAGAAAAGTCACTATTAATACACTTTCTGTTATAATTATGTTTATATTATCCAAAGTTGTCTTTACGTACTTCAACTATCACCAATGTGAACAAAGAAACAACAGCTCATGAATCCCTTACATAAATTAAAAGTCCTATAACTAATGTTAATTTCATACTTTCTTCGACAATTAAAAAAACTATCAGCTTGTTAGCCAATACATCGAAAAGCTCTAGACTTTTGTATTAAACATTTCTTTGTTTTTTAAAACACCCCCCCCCCCCCCCCATCAAAGATTTCCCGTACCAATATCTTCTTTAGTTTACCCTTATTATTCTCGGCTCCCCCAATTAATCTCTCCACATTTCTTTGGACGTACTACTATTCTTCTTTCACGAGGTTAACATTCATTTAGTAATTTAATAAACTGTGTTCCACCCGTCCTATATGTGCATACCATTTCCCCACTGTTCTAAAATAATTTCATTTGCATTTTTGTCTTGTACTTGGGTTCTAATATCTTATAGCTAGCCTGAAACCACAAACAGCTGATGTATTTCTTAATTTATAAATTTTGTATTTCTGAAGTCACATTGCACGAGTCTGTAACATGTTAGGCTAAAGATCAGAAATATCTCGGAGTTCTCTGCTTGCATCTTGCATTATTTATGAAGTAGCATCCCCTGTCGTTTTATACCTCTGTATTCCATTTATTTCTGTAAAAGTCCATCTGCAGTGTATTTTTTGTAGAACTTCGTAAAAGTAAAACGACACGAAAATCTTTTTTTACCAGGACTAATTTAAAAACGTTTGTCCCAAAGAGAAAACGTACGTATGGTGTACTTAACTACAACGAACGATGTGCAGCCACACACAGGATAAGTGATTTTAAACAGACATTTGCATTCTGTTGACATAAACCACAACTCCTTAATGTTTTCCCTTTCTTAGTAATTAAATATCTGGATATTTTGTCGAGATAAATTCAGATTTTGAGACGAGAAGAATCTAAAACGGAAAGCGACACAGAAAAGCAGTAACAAAATACGGCAATTAAGTGAATAATTCTGTTATAAGTAAGCAGAAAATAACAAGAATGATAAAAGCGGCTATGTCCTTAGTAAAAAATGCTGCTGTTGATGAGAGACGTAGTACGGGATCACTTAACTTACAGGTACCACAAATAACACCATTTCACTTAAAAAAGCCAATGGATAGGAAGTTACGCGCATTTATACTACAGACATACAGGCACGCCTGTCTTCAGACAGTGCAAACGGTTTCGTAAATTACCATTTTTCTTTTTTGCGATTTTGCAGATACGAATCAACTGGCACGGATGAGAATCTAATTGAATCACAGGTATCGTACTGGATAAAGCATTACACATAAAAATTTTAAAATAAAAATGTATATGCTATTTCAATGACACGTATTTTATACTTCAATTTTTTTTACAAGAAACCATTCTGAGAAAATAATTAAAGAAAGATCTGTGTTTCATAATAATTAAGGTATTTTGCCCAGAGCAAAATTTCTAATTCACAGATAACAAGCCAAATACATTGCGTGCTCTTAAACTTGAAAACTTCACTTCCATTCTCGCTCTCATTAAATTTCTAAGTGTTTATAAAATGGAAGAAATATAATGAAGAAGCACTTCAAAGTAGGATTTGAGGTTTTCACGGCAGTGAGTTTGAAGATGGCTGTCTTCTGGGTTGTTGCACCGTGCAGTCTGATAGAAGTTTACCGACGTTTCAGAGGTCCTTGCTGAGTCTCTCAACAAGCAAGGGAACAGATATGTATTATTCAGTACAGCCCACATTACATTTCACCTGCTTTTCACATAGCATACAAATAAAATGTATGCACAGGTTCATAAATAGCAGTAGTATGCATCATATAGTAAATAACACGTATAATATGCCTACATTTAAGAAAATTGCAATAAAACACAATGAAGGAAAATATTATGCGGGCTTATACTCCCAACAGTTACTTCAACTTATGTAACATCATGCGTATGTAAATGAAGATCTCATGTTGGTCGTAATTACTGCATCTGCGTACGAACAGCTGAAATTCAAGAGCTAAATCTCTGCCTAGCAAAGAACCATATTTATAATTTTAAAGAGCTGGCAGAGAAAAGATGGAAAGTAATTCCCATAACAAGGATTGAGCAAGATTTGAGATGTGATGTCGAGGAGAGGAGAGGAGAGGAGAGGGAAGAATGATGCCAGCGAACAAGGTTAGAGGAGAGGAGAGAGGGAAGAATGATGCCAGCGAACAAACACAGTCACATTCAAGAGGACTCGAAACTTGTAATTGCTCTTGAGCTGTTTGTGTTAACCCAAAAGCGGCTGATTGTTAATTCGTGTGGAACAGAGAAGGGGGTGTGGAAAGTCCCGGCTCTCGGTAAGAGTAACGCATCCATCGAACAAGGTGCTAAAGGCAGCAATGCCGATATTTCAAGTGGAAGTTGCAAACCTCACCTCTTTCTGCAGCTGCCCAGCTGGAGATATTTACATAACGTTCGGAGGAAGAAAGCTAGCTACTGATCCATTTCA